GTCTCCTAAGCGTGAGGTAGGAGGTCGCCGAGGTAGACTACAAAGAAAAAACATGTCGCCCAGGTGTAGTTTAAGGGGTCACCCAGCTATTCTGAGCACACTCGACTATAGCGAGATCGTTTTTTTGCCCTGTATTTGAGTGCAATAGTGAGCTCACCTGGCGTCCTTAGTTAACATGAAATACTCCCACGTTCCCTGCAAACCAGGTTTCAAAGAGAGATCGGTTGTTTTTCCTGTGTTTCATTAAGAGTTTGCTTTGCGTGTGTTTGTTGTTTATTGGCGTTTGTGGTGCTGCGGTTAGGCATTTCACCGACGTTCGTTGAAGAGACATTTTTTGTCCAGTATCTCGGCCTTTCTGCTGGGATGTTGTATCTTAACTCGGGTTTAGCCCTGACTGGCAGTCTAAAATTTATATTGATTTAAACTGTGTCGATTTGGGCGTAAAATATCTACATTGAGAAAATACGCAGGTGAAGTTTTATTGTTTGTTTCTTTTTTGTTTTGTGTTTTGTTTTTTGCTGTTTTTGTTTTTCAGAATTTCTGTAGGGCATTCATTAAATGTTTATTGTTCCCAAGTTATCTGTTTGCCGTTCCTATGTTATAAGTAGTGAATACGTAAGTCTGCTTGCTGTTCCCAGGTTTTTCTGTGTGAAATACTTTTAGTTTGTTGTTCCAACCTTTTCTGCAGAGAATGCATTAAGTGTCTCTGTTGTTCCCATGTTTTTTGTACGGAATACGTTAAATCCGTTTGTTATTTCCCAAATTTTCTGAATGGAATAAACTAAGTTTGTTGTTTCCAGGTTTTCTGTAGGGGGTACGTTACGTTTTTCGTTCCCAGGTTTCTACCACTGTTCAGTGATGCTCATTGCTCCCTTGGGGCAGGACATGGCCACCGACCAACCTCCCAGCAGGCTCAGCATGGGCATACAGCTCATCATTACTGGAGACTGTAAGAAATACTTGACTTATCACAGTTCATGGTTACTGGAGACAGTAAGACATTCATTTGGCTAGTCGCAGTTCATGATTACTGGAGATTGTAAAATAGGTTTATCACATATCATGATTTCTGGCGACTGTAAAACATTCAGGCTTATCATAGTTCAAGATTGTTGGAGACTGTTAGACAATCATGCACTTGGGGGAAAGAGGGGGGTGGGGGAAGACGCTTTGTCAAGACATACAAACTTATCATAATTCATGGTCACATACGAGTACACTTGCCTTATCAAATCTCATGATTTCTATGGAGTGTAAGAGATACAGACTCATTATAGTTCTTGATTACTGGAGACTATAATACATGCACGTGACTTATCAAAGTTCAATATCAGACACAAAAGTGACTCATCACAGTTCATACTCACTGGAGACTGTTAGATATACACATGACTTATCACAGTTCATGATCTCTAGAAACCGTAAAACAGAAATTTCTTCTTATCATAACTGTCTGTGCCATGTACCCTAACGTTTTACCCAGTAAAAGAGCACAACGGTTTGTCAAAAGAGCCTCGTCATGGGACTTGGACTCCTCGAACTGTATCAGTGGTGAAATAATAATACATGTCATTGGTGTGCCAAATTGTGCTAAGATGACACAGTAAACCGCCTAAATCAAACTGTATCAGGATGTCTCTTTGTGAATGCCGTTTGGTACAGTAGGTACTCTCGAAAAGTTGCTGTAGCGTTGTAATTCGTTACAATGTTGACACCTAGCCGCCCCCCCCCCCCAACTCCCTAGTTCACTTACCCTTAGTATTTGTCATGGTTTGCTGGGGCCATAACAAAAATCCCAAATAGGCTTATTTCGGTGATCCCGGAACCACCGCGAATGCGAGTGGTTTGTGTGTGCCACCGGCGGGTTCCCCCACCCCACCCCTCCTCTTTGTTGTTTCTGTCTTGTTTCAAATGCTTGGAAAGTCCAACTTGACTGACAACCACCATCACCTCCACACCCCACCTCCATCTCCTCAGCTGCTCTGGATTACGGACCGATCATCCACAACGATTTTCCCCTTGTCACCCCTAGCCCGTCCTTGAGGGGAAACACCTTGACCTTGGAATGCTTCGCTTATGGAAAGCAAGTTGATTACTCTTTTTCATTTTTCATATCATAATAATTATCGGACGAGAAGAATACGAAGTGGGTTCAATAATTCTTAGGTCTGGGTATGAAGGAATCATGGTAGAGTAATGAAATTTCGCCAGCGTTAAGACAATTTCTTCGGAACACACCATGCAAATTTTCTGGAAAATCTGACAGTTCAATAAGAAGGCACTCGTTAGCGTGGTCAAAGGAACCATGCACGAAAACATATTTATTTTTCTTTGCTGAAGCGTTTTGTCTTTTTATATTGTTGCTTTTTGTTTCTCTGTTTATTTTTTCCTCAGTAATTTATAATCTCGTACAACTATTTATGATCATAATTTACAATTTCAAAGCCTACAATTTCTTACAATTATGTACCATTTCTTACAATCTCTCACTCATATGACCACAACAAAAAGGAATGACAATATCAACCACATACAGAGAAAGAAACGTACCACGATCTTCCGACTGCGAACAGAACATAATATACAGCTCAACGTCCACCTGCATAGAATAAACCAAGAACTTCCCCCAATGGGTCCATTGTGTGACTATGCATACGAGACTGTGGATCATCTCCTGTTCCACTGCACAGCCCTAAACGACATCAGAGCTACCCTTCTCCCTCCGAGACCTAATATTGACAACACACTCGGTGGAATATTACAGCAACTGCAGCAAACCTGCACGTATCACTACATGGCATTGGACAGAAGGGCGAGAGCCCAGCAGTTGCTGGATCGATAACAATAACAACAACAACAACAGCAACAACAACAACAACAACACGGATGCCCTGCCACCACAGGTCTGCAACGCCTGCGGCCGTAAAGAGAGGCTGCTTCTTAACCCGTTCATATGCAGTGCTGACGGCTGTAACGAGAAATGTCATCAATCCTGCAGCGGCATCTCCCGGTACTCCAGGAAGCGCGAATGGCTCTGCAGAACTCACTGCTCACCCCCAGTCCCCGTCGACCAAACACCCCGACAGGAGACCTTTGCCAGACGCGAGTGCAGTGTCTGCAGCAAGATGCTCAGGAAAAACGCCGGCCGGTTCCGTTGCGACGAATTGGGATGCTCAAGCGAGTGCCATAGGGACGTTAGGTGCAGCCACATCGGCAGGTACCACCCCAAGACAAAATGGAGGTGTGCAACCCACTCCAGCAACACAGCACCAACCGCAATCTCAATCACAAATAACATTGTCAGATCTACTCCCCTACCATCCACCCCACGGCCCAAAGCCAACTATAAGGGCTGCCTGAAACCAATCCGAGTGAATGCCACGCTAGTTGCATGCGCGTCCTGTACCCAGTACTTCCACAAGTCTTGCACGAATCTAACGAGACTGCTCGCAAACGCCGCTGCGGAAGGTACCCACAGCTGGAGCTGTGAGGGTTGTGAGCGGTCGAATAAGCCCAGAGATTTCACACGGGTGGTGGGTGGCACAGCGATCGAAACATCTGCCGAGGACCTCCAAAAGCGGACCAAAAGTTCGCTCAGTATTATGCAGTGGAACGCCGATGGCATCACAACTAAGGCAAACGATCTTGGACTTCGCTTGAAGGAGGGTGATTTCGACATCTGCCTCATCCAGGAATCGAAACTAAAACCAAGTAAGACGACACCTAGATTTGAGGGATATTCGTCAATCAGGGTGGACAGACGGAGCCAGGACGGAGGTGGAGGTCTCATCTCTTATATCAAGAATACCCTGGTTTTCGAACATGTTCGAGACGCGTCCATCAGAGGAACTGAGCTTTCGATGTTTAAGGTGAGGGTCTGGAAGAGGAAATGGGTCACACTGTGCAACATCTACTGCCCCCCGTCAGATCTCACACATCTCAACAATCTACACGTTTGGCAACCGACGAACTCCCAACCACACCCGGGTCTATCATACTAGGTGGCTTTAATGCCTACTGTCCCCTTTGGGATCCCTTTCAACCACCGGATGCAAGAGGGGAGAGTCTGCTGATCTGGACACTGGATAGCGACATGACGGTAATGAACGACGGAAGACACACTCGTATCAACACCAAGTCGAGACATGACGACCATCCCAACCCCAATCCCTCTCCCTCTTCCCTACCATCCACCGAGGGCAAAAGTGCCCCTGATGTCTCTATATGTGGGTCAACATGGAGCGGGAAGCACACCTGGTGCCCAGTAGACGGAATTGGCAGCTCTGACCATGCGCCGATTTCCGTGACCCTTAACACTGAGATCAGCCATGGATCAGTATTCAAGGGTCAAGTCACCTGGAAATCGTTCGGTGTCGACTGGAAAGCTTTCACCGACGCCGTTGAACGTGACACTGCGACTAGAATGCCGTCGAACAACCACATCCGCAACATGGTGTCTGAATTCCACACTGCCCTGATGGACGCCGGTACCCGTATTGTCGGCACTGTGAAACCAGGTAGGCACACAAAGACATGGGAAACCCCCACAGTTCGAAGAGCAATCCGGAGGCGAAATAGACTCCGGAAAGAGGTGCGAACCCGCCGCAAAGAATGGCTAGAGGCGTGCCACGTGGCGCAGGAGACGATCAACGATGCTAAGACCGACGCCTGTCGAAAACTGCTCGAGAAAACCACCAACTCACAGGACGACACCAAGATGTGGAAAATCATTAAAAGCCCCAACGGTACCCCTGAGACAAACTCGCCAAATGAAGCAATGTCACACAATGGGCGATTGGTGACATCAAGCAAGCATAAGGCGGACATATTCGCAGACCACTACGCGAACGTCTGTAGTCTAAACATGTCGAAAGAAGACAGAGCCGAAAACTGGCAACTCAAACAGCGACTGAAATACTTACGGAACAACCCAAGGGCAGACCAGCCCGATTTCATTATCGGGGAACTGAGGAATGCCATTGCAAAGATGAAGTCACGCGGATCACCCGGACCAGACAACATCCCTCCGTCCTTCCTCAAAAACCTGGGTCCCAAAGCGCTAAAGAAACTGCTCTCCATCTTCAACATGTCATTTCGCTCAGCTGATGTCCCACAAGTCTGGAAAGACGCCATCATTGCCCTCTCCTCAAGACCGCCAAACCAGCATCGGAACTAACGTCGTTTAGACCGATAAGCCTCACATCCTGTGTCATCAAAGTTATGGAGAGAATGGTATCTGAACGACTGTACGACATGGCCGAGCGGAACGGCTGGTTATCCGAACTGCAGGCTGGATTCAGGGAGGGGAGATGTGTGGAAGACCAAATTCTGAGAATTACGCAGATTTCCGATGGCTTCCAAAAGAAGGAGAAATCGCTACTCGTCCTCCTCGATTTTTCAAAGGCATACGACACGGTCTGGTGAGAACGCCTACTTCTCACCCTCCTAGACAGAGGTATCCCAGATACATACGTTTTATGGCTGAATGACTTCCTTCAAAATCGTCAATCCAGAGTCCGATTCAACAGAATACTGAGTAATAGCAGGAAAATGAACCAAGGCCTCCAACAAGGTTCGGTCCTGGCACCCATCCTCTTCCTTTTTTATATCGACGAACTGGCGAAACTACTTCCGGATGATCTCACAATTTCACTCTACGCTGACGACGTCTCTATCCTTGCTTCATCACGCACGACACGAGACGCCGAAAGTCTGGCACAAAGAGCGGTGGACACCGTTGCTGACTGGAGCAGACGATGGAAACTCACGCTAAACGGCTCAAAGAGCGAGACTACATTCTTCACGCTCGCAACATCTAACTTGGAATGGAAGCCAGGCATCACGATAAATAATTCGACAATTCAGTATGAGCCCTACGCAAGACTCCTGGGAGTCACACTCGACCGCAGGCTCACGTTCAGGAAACAGGTTGAGACAGTAATAGCTAAGGCCACACAGCAGATGAGGATGCTCGGCGCTGTAGCGCACTCAAAATGGGGATGGAGGAAAGACGACCTACGCATGGTCTACCTCACTCATATACAAAGTGTTCTCAACTTTGCGAGCAGCAGCTGGCAACCGTGGCTGAGCAAAACTCTCATAAATAATCTGGAGGTGATTCAAAACAGATGTCTGCTACTGATTACCACCCAAGCCCAGTCTTCACCGATCGAGGCACTTCGAGCTGAAACGGGGGTCCCAAGCATTCAGTCCACCATAAATGCTAACTGTCTCCGATCAAGAGAGAAGGCCCTCCGACTGAACAACGACCACCCTCGACGAATTGCGGCAACGGAACAAGTGCACAGACGCCTAAAAGGACGCAGGAATTTTCGAAAAAGGGCTGAAGACGTCTGCAAAAAGAGCCCACATCTGTTCAACTGCGAGAGGAGGCCCATCACTTACTTCGAAACCAGGCCTTGGGAACGGGGAATCAACCCCGACATCACTTTCCCCCACCTGTACGGCATAAGCGGAAGGAGTGACTCCCGTGGGAAGATTCAAAGCGCTGCTGTTCGTCGAGCACGAGAGCTTGGCGCACAGTACAATATCTACACCGACGGCTCGGCTAGGGCAGGAACAACGGACGGCGGCGCTGGAGTCGTCATCACAACGGGGGACCCGTCCAACCCTGCCGTTGTCGAGACGTTGAGGGAGAAAGGCGCCATATTCACGTGCTCTTTCGAGGAAAAAAAGGAGAGCCTTGGAAATGGCCATTGACTGAATTGACAAAGAGTGCGATGCATCCAACTCGGTCGCTATTTTCACCGACAGTCAATCACTATGCATGGCACTAGTGGGAACATCACCATCCTTCGACCAAATGCGACTACGCATAAATTATGCAATACCTCAACCCACGATTCAGTGGATCCCTGGTCACTGCGATATCCTCGGCAACGATCTCGCTGACAGTAATGAAAACTGGCAACAGCGCTGCCGGGTCCAGGCCGCCAAATTACTTATGAAAGTGCGTGCGCCCAGGTAAAGCTAATTACAAAAGACCCCCCCCCCCCCCTATATGCTACACGCGGACGAACGAAGTATACAGGGCATTTTCCTTAAAAAGAGGCTTTTATTATGTCCTGCAGTGACCAGTCATTACTGGCAAAAATCAGGACCGGTCACTTCTCTGGGCTGCGGGCCTACAAAAATAGAACTGTGCAGCAAGGAACCCCAAGATTTGGAACACTGGCTGAAGAGATGCCCCCGCCACGGAGGCCCGGCGGTGGCATCTCTTCGGGGGGGATCAGGGAGGTTGGACTGCCTCACCCGCTACCCAAGGGAGGCGGTGGCCCTGGCGAAGAGCACGCTCTTCGGGGCTCCAAACATTTCGTACGGATAGGCTACCACACACACACACACACACAACAGCAACAACAACAACAACAACAACAACAACAACAACAACAACAACAACAACAATCTCTCACTGTCATTGAGCTAGTGCGTGTTGTGAAGCGGTTAGACGCTTTGCTGTTGCTCGCAGTGGACCAGAATTTGATTCCCGACTGGAATCTCGGTCTATCTGCTGAGTTGCTGTATCCCTCTCAGCAAGGATGGGCACTGGTATGCAGGGTCGGAAACCCGCCTCCAAATTTATCTAAACTGTGTCGGTGGGGGCGTAAAAATAACCTAAATAAAAACAGCATTAAAGTCATTTTAAAATCTTACAATCATTTACAAATTCTTATGAACCATTTACAATCTCTTACAATTATTTACAAATTCTTGCAAATCATTTACAGTCTCTTGCATTCATTTCCAATTTCTTACAATAGTTTACAATCTCTTACAAATCGTTTACTACAATCTCTTACAATCCCTTACAAATCATTCACAGTCTCTTACAAATAATTTACAATCTCTCACAAATTGTTTACAATTTCTTACAATCATGTACAATCTCTAACAAATCATTTACAATTTCTTACAATCATTCACAATTTTCTTACAATCATTTACAATCATTTCTCTCCCACTCCCCCCCCCCCTCCCCCCAGACTGCCCCTGCACTACTCGTGGACCAAGGACGGGGGCGGTGTTCCGGAGAAGGCCAGCCTGGCAGAACACGGACGCTGGCTCATTCTGCCAGACGCACAGCTGGACGACTCGGGGAACTACACGTGCTACGTCACAAGGGGCGGGGCTTCTAGAGACGTGCGCAATCTACAGCTGGTCGTGGAAGGTATGTTTTATGTTTTAGTAGAGGTTTTACGGCGCTCACAACTGCATAAGGTCATATGAGGGCAAAGGGGTGGATGTCAACAGAGAAGTCCTTACAGGGAATCAGACTTAGTCTGCTCACCTCTCTAGCTTCAACAGCACAAAGTCTGCTTCGACTATCAAGCCACCCCGGAAATAGCCGGTCACAAGAGTAATAAAACATACAAAAAAAGTAGAGGCAAAATAACGATAGTAAGGATTAAAAAAGAAAAAGCAGCGATTCCCTGTTGCATTTCAGGCACAGTAATGAGCATGATATTGATGAATCTGCCCATTTACAATTACCATTCAACTGTGCATAAGAACTCGAGATGTTAATTCCCCCTAAAGACACTTTAGTCAGTAGCACCGCCCCTGGGGGTGTCGTGAAATGTAAGAGCAGTTTGGGAACGGGGGGATGGGGATGTGGAGATAGTGTGTGGGTTTGTGTGTGTGTGTGTGTGTGTGTGTGTGTGTGTGTGTGTATGTGTGTGTGTGTGCGCGTGTGTTTGTTGTTGTTGTCGTTGTTGTTGTCGTTGTCGTTGTCGTTGTCGTTGTCGTTGTCGTTGTCGTTGTCGTTGTCGTTGTTGTAGTTGTAGTTGTAGTTGTAGTTGTAGTTGTAGTTGTAGTTGTAGTTGTTGTTCTTGTTGGAGGAAAAGCTGGGTGCTTTATACGGCAGGAGGGAGATGTTTTTGTTTCTGTTTTTGTTTTTGCTTTTATTGGACATGTATTTACCTCACCTTTAAAAAAATACAATACACATTGCTTTACAAACTGAAAATCTCATCGAAAAAAATGATACTGAAACAACTTCTATTATTATAGTCTTTATAACGGCAATACACAATGAACATTTCTTTTTTAAAATATTATTAAAAAGACAACTTTTATTTTCAAAATCTATAGATCTATAATTAAAATGTGCAATGAACATGCCATCGAAATGAATTTAAGAAAAATCTATTTTCCTAACCTTTACTTATCAAAAATAAACAAGAATGATGTTTTATGTTACCAAGTTTTGCGTTTGTTCTTAGACAAAAATTGTGTTTCTGTTACCAGGTGTTTGTGTTTGTCTTATGACAGAAATTACCTTTATGTTACCAAGTGTTGTGTTTGGCCTTTGACAAAAATAATGCTTAATGTTACCAAATTGTGTGCTTGTTTTATGCAGAAATTACCTTTATGTCACCAAGTTTTTGTGTTTGTCAAAAGACAGAAATGACGTTTATGTTAGCAAGTTTTATGTTTGTCCTTTGACAGCGGCGCCGTTCTTCATCTTCCCTCTCCGTGACCAGCACGTGGACATCGGCCGGCGTCTGTCCTGGCGCTGTGAGGCCATGGGTCGACCTGACCCCGTCTACCGCTGGTTCAAGAACGCTAAGCCCCTCGTCTCGATCAGGGACGATCTTACAGTTAGTCATTGTTGTATCGCAGAGTATTGTTTTG